TGCCAAACACAATCGTACCTTACCCCCCGCCCCCTGTTGTGTAGGATCTGGACGCATCCAATGAGCTGGACGCGACCTGCTGCATCAGTTACCTAGAGGCTAGTAGCTCTTGAGAACAATGTTCACATGATCATGAGCAGTACAGCTTAGTAGATGCATGGCGACGACATTTCATCTATCTCCCTCTCCGGTCCGCAGTGTCCGAGTGGACACTAAGATAGACACGACTACGATAATTCAAATGACCTAAGAGAAGATATGTCGGGTGATTCCATCTACGCCTCGCTGCGTGCCATCAGAAACCTGGATCTGATGGGCATGTCATGCCCAACACCGCCAGATCATAACACCGTGGGAATACTTCGGGTTAATTCGATCTTGGAATTTCAAGCCGCTCCTTCAGGGCGCCGTACTCGCCTTGCCTACCATATCTTCAACGACCGCTAATGAATATTAAAGATATGCAACTCGTGCATACATGTAGAAGCCCAACTGTGCATTACAGCAGGCACTTCTCGACAAACAAATCGGGATGTTGACGGAAACGACGACATTGGCTTTGGTGTAACCCTAGACACTTGATCATTGCTCATGACAGCATCCTCGAATGTCATCTGTCTCCAAGGTAGACTTGGGTACCCTGTCTGCTGTGGGCTTTTCTGCTTTACGCAACACATCAACAGTATCCGACCCCACGAGTGATAGCTTTGAAGGGCGCCAATTTAGGTTGCATCTCCCTCGCGTGGGGTACCCTGTCACTGTGGCCCCTGTTACAGATATCAAATCTTGTTTGCAATACAGTAACACTAGGCTGATACACCTATCTACGCCAGGGTTCCAGCAAATCTGATGACGTCGCCGAACTGACCACTGTCAATTCCGGCGTACACCTAAGTACGTAATATAAGAAGTAATATTTTAGATCAATGATCTGTATCGTATTCAGCTGCCTGATCTCCCAGACACAATGCGCAAGGAATTTGCTTGCATTCCTACTCATTCTACCCGACTTCTCTACATCTTCGGTGCAACTTCCACTGGACTCGAGTGGCTCCAGATCTCAACTGCACCAAGCCAGCCCTTTGCAGTAGTGGAATCTAGAGTAGGCTACTCGATAAGAAATGATGTGTACGACTGTAATAATAATACCACAAGATGTACCTCGTGAATATGAGTGATCCATACTGACCCGCTTAGTGTTCGTTTTCGCCAGGGACTAGATCTGCCTCAGTGCCAAAAGATAGGTAGCTTGATTCCAGTGCCTTGGTTCCTTCCAGCGCCGACCCGCTATTAGCGTAATGGAGTCGTTGACAGTCGGATAACCTTTAACCAACATTTCTACATTGGTAATGCATACGGAGTAATATGTAGCTTACCATAGAATAAGTGATTTGGAATTAGCCCAGAACAATGCCTTTATCTATGCTATTGGACGCTGCGGAAGTGACTCCAGAGTCTGGAAGAAGTTATATCAATTAATATGATTTATTCAAGGACACTTAATTACTTTCTATTTGGTGTGATCGAGATAGAGCGGAGTATAGGCCCTATTCCTCTGGTCAAGGCTACAACATGAATCATTCCAGCATGGATATATAGAGCATAGCGGTCGATACACTTCAAAAAAGCTGTCAAGTATTTTCTTTTTTTCTCCATCTCTGGGGATTTCTCATTGTCCATAAGTTCTTAATGCTCCTGTTGATTGTGATAGTGTGATCATACTTCCAGGCTTCACAGTCTAGTAACTTATTTAACTATTACTGAACAGTACAGTAAGTAAGAAAGATCGGAATTCAGGTGCTACCTTCATTAGCTTAGTCCTTATTACTACTCCAAGTAATCATTACTGTATGGAAGTTGACTGCTCACCTCCAAACCTTACTTAGTATTTGACCCACTTATTTAGATGGCATGACTGATATACTTTTGACCAATGTACTCCGTATGGAGTAAACTAAAGATCAATAATAAGACTGTGAGACAGTGCCTTCTCTCTTCTCTCAGCCCTTTCAAAATTTTATTGAGTTTGTGGTTTTAATTTTATTTTGGCCCCCTTTCATAGCTCCCTTCTTGTCTCATTTCTGGGGTGCCCCCTTTCTCCCTGAATGTACTCCTGTACATTATCTGGCTTCCGCCCTTGGCCTGGCTGACCGCTTTTGATGGTAGTCACACAGTGGTAAACAGGTACACCGCATCTCTATCGTCACTCCTCAGAGACGTGTGCTTGCTTTCCCCTTTTTCTCTATTGGTGCTCTTCCTCCTTTTCCATACATGTACCAAACAAAGGAAAACCAAGAAGTGCATTGCATTCAAAGCAAAGGAAGAATACTTGCATGGATCTCTCGATTGCCTTTCAGGGAATGTTGAGAATGCAGGATCGCAAAGATTGATATGCATGTCATGAAGGGCAATACATCGTTACCATGCTTCTTCCTACCCATTGATACGTCCCTAGAAATGGCAGTCAAGGCAATCTGGTCACGGTTATCTCTTGGATTCCAGTATAGACTACTGAGTACAAATCCCCCAGGTTCCAGGTGGACTAATTATCCCAAACTGGGGAAGAGATTATTGGACTAATACTCCATACTCACAAACGCTATTTGTCTATTATGCAAACTGGGAGACAAACGCTAGACTGGCTAGAGAAAGGGGCGGCAAAAAGACCATCTGAAAGTGGGTGGGTTTCAGTGGGTACTAAATTGCTAAATGAGATCTATCATCTTGACTAAGTCTCACTAAAACCATACTCTTGGAAAGCCGATCATCCATTGCCTTATGGGTCTGTTTTAGCGCGCTTCTAGATACACGCCTACTGCTGTTCCCCGGAGCCCGGGGCTCAGGTCCATGGGTCATTGGGTTGACTGTTCAATTCTGCGGCGGCGGCTCTCAACTGGGGGCACATTTGGGCTATTTGTTCACTTTCTTGATTATTGCTATTATTATTAATTTTATTTTTTATTAGCTGTAGGATTTTGTTTCATTTTCCATTAAATACTGTTTTTTCCCCCCCCCACAGTATTTTGTCCATATTTTATTAATCATATTTTATTCCCGGCCTTTTTTTTTAGTTGAATTATGTGAATTTCTTATCTGCCCTTCTGTTTTTCTTTTCTTTTTGTCCACCCCCCTGTCAGGAAAACAAGACCGCTCTTTTTTGATCAGCGGATTATCAAAAGGATCCAGGAGCAATCGGGCCTTTTTCCCAGGCCCTGCTGTCCGGACTACGGACTTACGTCGCAGACGGATAGCCTTTTACGAAGCTCTAGTTACCTGAAAGGATATCCGAACCGATTGTCTTCAGTTTGAGTACCTGTGGATCGAACTGGTCGACTGGAAACTGGTTGTTAGAGACGGCTGCTATTGGATCCACATCCCTTTCGCTTTGCCCTTCATTATTACCCTTGGTACGGAGAATTTGTTTCTGATCTCTGTCATTATTATTCTCTTTTCCGTCAGTCTTGTTGTTAGCATAGGTCATTATTTGCCAGTGTAAGTAGGACCCAGTCGGATGCCCCCAATCCCATTGCCCTTGTCTATCCACTAGAGACATCATAGCTTAAAATCTACAATATGAATGTGGATCCTCTGTGCTAGTGTTCCTTGACTGTTTGCTGTTGACTGCGTCCTGCATCATCCTCTGTAGTCTGTACAGCTGTAACCAAAATGGGCTCCATTATGATTCTTCCTGACCCAGATGCTGGACCGTTGACGTTTTACTTTTCCCTTTTTTATTTCTTTTTTGTTTGAATCATAATATCTTATTTTTATTTTCTTTTATTGATTTTTACCTTGTCCTTTCTAAAATAATTATTTATTATTTTCGCCTGGTCAATGATCACATATCTTCTTCCTCTTATCCACATCAGATACTTCATTTAATTCCCCTTCCCGTCCAGATTCTCCCTTGAAGACTATCTCTTCTCTCTTCTCCTACTTATAATTAAGCTCTTGCCTTTATTCCGACAGTATCCCCTTCTTCTATCCTTCCATTGTCCCACCGAATCCTCCGACTTCATTGTTCTGCCTTCGCCTCATCTCTGCCTTCACCTACTACCAAACACATCTCCATACCATTACACATCTTTCCCCAACAGCTCATTCTTCTCTTGGCGTTTGAGCTTTGTTGCGCTCTAGTCATCGACTGCAAAGATCCCCATAGTTCCAAACAAAGTCACTTTGTTCAAAATCCCTTGTAGTGAACTCGAGTGATCTTCTACGTCAGTGGAACGGCGCCAAAAGGGAGGAAGACGACAGAATATAGAGGAACTTCGAACTTGAAAGGAGGGACAACTGGAGCGCATTGAGAAGAAAGGAAGCAATGCTGAAGTTCCTCTAACAAGAGGTTCCTTCTTTCTTCTTCAGGCGCGCAATCTCTCGCAATCGCATTCACTCCCTTCTAGCCCAGCGACGACCTTAGGGCGACACATTGCTCTCGCTGTCGGCCTCTTTCGATTTCTGACAAAAAAGAGGATCCCGGCATACATCGCTATAGCTATTTCCTGTTCTCCCCTGGCCCGAGTACATTTCTTGTACCGAGACGACGAGATGTTCAAACGGCCGTCATTCTTACAACGCCAGCGGCATAATGGTGGGCGCGATGATTGGTCCGCCTTTCCAGTGCGCCAGCTTTTTGTGCTAGGTATGTTCTCCTTCAGTCGCTCTGCTTAATGCCCAATCTCGATGAGGACGATGGGTTCATGTATGACGAACATGGATCTGTGCGTCTTTATTGGAGCAAACATTTCCTTACTGCAGTTGAAATCTCCTATTGGATCTTCAGGATGACTGACAGCTCTTCAAGCACTATGCCGCATTTGCGAGCCAATTGCATTCATGTCCATTTTTCCGTATGTCTACCACATGGTAGAGGCATTCAAGGTGACAGATGACGATCGCAAAATCGCTCTCTATGCTGGCCTGATCACATCCTCGTTTACTTTTGCGGAATTCTCGGCAGGCATGTTCTGGGGTCGGATGAGCGACAAGATTGGTCGAAAGCCTGTTTTGATTATGGGTTTGATTGGCACAGCTATCAGCATGATTGTTTTCGGATTTGCCCCCAATCTGCCAACCGCCATGATTGCTCGAGCGCTTGGCGGTCTCCTCAACGGAAACATCGGAGTTCTTCAAACGACCGTTGCGGAGATCGTGACTGTCAAGGAGCATCAACCTCGGGCTTACTCGATCATGCCATTTGTTTGGTGCCTGGGGTCGATCATAGGACCAGCTATGGGTGGTGCGTTGGCACAGCCCTGCCAGAATTATCCCGGATTGTTCCAGCGCCATACAATCTTCGACAGCTTCCCATTTCTGCTGCCCAACCTCGTCTGTGTTGTCGTCCTGGTCTTTGGGGTTATCGTCGGCTTCTTGTTCCTTGAGGAGACTCATCCGGAGAAACGATACCGCCGTGACCCTGGTCTCGAGCTGGGCAATTGGCTCGTCGCCCAATGCTCGGGCTCCCGCGTGCAACTGACAGAGGATGACACGGGCATCAAAGTGGAAGCCAACGAAGCTGATTATTTCGACTACGGCGATGTCCCTCCACCAGAGTACAGAAGCACCGAAACATCGCCTCAGCTGGCCCCGTCAAGGATGTGGGTGCTCTATCAGATGATGACGACATTGAGGGTCAGGTCAGAGGCGAACAATGCGGGACACCTAAAGCTTTCACAAAGCAGGTGGTCTTCAATATCATCGCTTATGGTATTCTTGCCTAGTGAGTTCGGACCGATTCTTGTTCCTACGACGATCAATTTTATTTTCTAACCATCTTCCAACAGCCACAGCGTCTCCTTTGATCAACTTATGCCCGTTTTTCTCAGCACCCCTAAATCCGATGACAACTTCGTCCTGCCATTCAAATTCACCGGCGGCCTTGGTCTTCCCACCAAGACGATCGGTTTTATGCTCGCAGTACAAGGCGTTTACTCTATGATTGCCCAACTGTGGCTATTTCCTTTTGTCGTTCGCCATTTTGGAACATTGCGAACCTTCCGATTCGTTCTGCTCGTTTGGCCACCACTCTACATGCTTGTCCCATACCTCGTTCTTCTGCCTTCAATACTGCAGACAGCAGCAGTCTACCTGGCACTCATCAGCAAAATTACTTTGCACGTCATTGCGTTTCCCTCTACTGCTATTCTGCTTGCCAATGCTGCTCCATCTTCCAAGGTTCTCGGTTCGATCAACGGTGCTGCCGCCTCGACTGCGAGTCTTAGTCGCGCCTTGGGACCAACAATCACGGGTCTGTTGCACTCCAAGGGCCTCGAAAGCGGATACTCGATTATCGCATGGTGGGCCTGTGGCCTCGTTTGCGTCACCGGTACCATCCAGAGCTTCTGGATGGAGGAGAGCGAGCCGCGGAGAGACAGCGAGAAGGCTGGCAACAGTGACTCGACTGCAGGAAACCCTATGCGGAGCTCCTTCACTGCAGGCAAAGAGTATGCCACGCCCGAAGAGGAACGCAGACTGCTCTCTTCTACGCGGACCAGCGTCGATGATTTGGACATTGCCAACCTAGATTTGACGCAAGTCGAACCAGCACCCCGGTCGAATCAACTTGCATTTGCCGAGGACTGAAAATAATGTCCTTCGCGCATTAACATGCGCTAGATTCTCCTTCTATCCTCGCTTCCCTTCATAATGCATCCTCGTCAGGACTATGAACTGGTGGTTGGGTGGTGTCGAGATTCCACTCTTTCTTTCGCTTCTTCGCTGTTCTCACATTTCTCTATTTCGAGCCATGCATTTCTCTTCCCTTTTCCTCTCTTATTCTAGAACATGATTCCAAGACGGGCGATGGCGCAGTTTCCTTTTTTTCTATAGATTGCATGCATTTCAGAAGCGCGGGGTCTTGTCTGTTTTTCTTGTCTTTTGTTCGGGATCATCACCATGGGCATTATTGGGTACACATCATGTCATGCATCTGGGCGGCTTTTGTCATTATTTATCATATCCTAGCACCTTGAGTGCTAAATCCACTTTCAGTTGAAGGGAAGACTTGCAGTCGACCCTCCTTTCCGGCCACCGAAACTATCACCACTTTGATACCTATTTGTGTTGAACGACAGTGCTCGATATAGTAGTGCATCTTCTGCTCGATCCTAGTTGCCGGAAGAAATGAAAAGCGTCCATGTCGGATAACTCGAGTGGAGCAGGCCAGGCTTGACTTATGATCACTTATCCATCCTCTTCCCCTCATGCTGCCCGCCTGTTTCCGTAATCGGTTATGCATCACGTGATATGGAATGCGGGGTTGGCGGGAAAGTGACCCGGATAACATGTTCTATGTGCAATATTCGAGGCTGCAGATTGTCGTAATCACTTAAGTCGATGCTTCAAGTGGTGTGAGAAGGGGAATTGGTAGTCGCAGAATGCCTAATCTATCTTCTCAATATTTTAGTACTGATGGTTTGCTACTCAAGATTGACTTATCACCAGCCAATCATCTCTGAGCTTTTTTCCTTCTCACATGGGGCAGCAGTTCGGATACTGCTCACGTATTGTTACCGACCAGTACTTAGGTATATTACTAGGTAGGTACCTTAGGAACAGGGAGAGAGGAGCAGGAAGTCTTTCATAGATCTCCCTGTTGATATTCAGACAATGCACTATTACTTCGGTTAGCTACCTAGATCTATATGTAACACTCTGCTGTGGTCGTCGAAGTTGGATACGTAAGAGTGCTTAGCGAGGTAGTATTCTCCATACGTGCACCGTCGGCCACTAAAGTCCCAAGGTAAAGAGTCTCGGAGTCCCCACAGTTTGTCCTATCTCCAACCTTCCAACGTCGACATTTTTTCCCCTTCGATCTCCAGTATTTCCAATTCCACTTCTTCTTCCTTGTTGTGTCTCTGAATCCTCTTGTGGTCGCGGCAAATTATCTCCGACATGGTTTGCGACTTTGCCCTGCGACCAAAACAGAATCGACCTTTGCCTTGACTATCATCTCGGAAACTAAGAAAGCCCGCGGATCGGGATACAACTGAGGAGTAACTTTCCCGTGCGACGCGATTTCAATTATCGAAGCGAAATACTCACCTGCAAAACGGCCAAAAGCATCAAGCCGTATGACTTAACATGAATGCTGATTCGTCTCGGAGTCTTCGGCAAACTATCCCCTCGTTCCACTTGACCTGCGACAGACTTCCATTCTCGAGACATGGTTGTCGCACCTCGGCGCCCTTCTCCCCGTCTCGCCTTTCCCGTCATGTTGAACACTTCCCCGGCCTCGCCTACCTCCCTTGGGAGGAAACGACCGCACCCTCCGGCTGAGCCTTCCTCAACCCAAGCGCAGTCTGCGGCGCAAGCACAGCAGCAGGCCTCTCACGACGGCGCTGCGAAAGCACCACCGGCTACCGTGACGGCTTCCTCGACCTCGTCCTCCTTCCGCAATGTCTCCGCCTGCAACCGATGCCGGTTGCGCAAGAACCGCTGCGACCAGCGACTCCCCCGGTGTCAGTCCTGTGAGAAAGCCGGCGTCCGCTGCGTCGGGTATGATCCTATCACTAAACGCGAGATTCCGCGCAGCTATGTCTATTTCCTTGAGGCCCGCGTGGCTTACCTGGAGAAAACGTTGACGGACCACCAGATTGAGTTCAAAGAGGCGGTGGCCTTTGATGAAGAGGAGGCCATCAAGGTAGAGGCGGGATACGACCAGGGTCGGCCGCAGATGGCTGGTTCAGAAGGGCCGGCGGGTGCCGAGACCTTGTCCACTAGTGTTGGCGAAAGTGACAAAATGACTCGGCAAAAGGCAGATAAGGCTGCGCTGGTTCCACGATCGGGCAGGAACCCGGAGAGTGAACAGGATGCGGAGAACAGCCGGGATTATGAGAAGGAGGACAATTGGCGCATACACAATCTCGTGTCGAATATTGGCATGGTATCGGTGCAAGGGACTTCCGATCCGCGGTATCTGGGGTCGACTTCTGGAATTTCCTTTGCGCGTGTCGTCTTCGCTGCGGTGAAGAGCTCCGTTGCCGGCAACGTCGCAGAGCGCGGACCTATGCGGCCCAGTGAACGCTTACCGCATAGTGCTACAGGTACCGCAGGGAGTACCATGAGGGATTCGTTCTTCGGTCTCCAGACAAGGCCAATGATGAAGTGCGCGGCATTCCCCGATCGAGAATTGGCGGAGAAGCTTGTCAGCCTTTATTTCGAGCATGCAAACCCGCAGATGCCTATACTCCACCGGGAGGATTTCATGGAACTCCTCGATCGGACATACTCAGTTCAGGAGAAGGACCGCTCTCCTCGCAGTCTTTATACCCTAAATATCATCTTTGCCATTGGCGCAGGTATCATATTCGAAGATAAGACCAGCTCAGATGATGAGGACAACAAGCAGGGAAACTGCAGCCGCTCACCCTCCTCGTCCACAGCAAAAAGGCCACGGCTTTCCAGCCATCAGTATCAACCCGAAGAGTACCATGCCTCTGCCATTATCCATCTGGAATCTTTCCTCGGCGCTTCGTCGTTGAACGACGGGTTCGGTGCGCTGGAGGAGCTGCAAGCCGTCCTCCTGTTGGCCAGCTTTGCCCTTCTTCGGCCCGTCGCGCCAGGCCTCTGGTATATTGTTGGAGTCGCTATGCGGCTAGCGGTTGATCTTGGTCTTCATTACGAGGACGGAACCGGTATTGACTCGGTTGGCGAAGAGAGCCTCGATCGCTCGTCTTCCAAGGGTGAGAACAAAGCCAAGCCGCGGATACATACTAGCGAGCGTGGCCGTCGCGAATGGGTTCGCGATCTTCGCCGGCGATTGTGGTGGTGTGTTTACAGCTTTGATCGTCTCGTCAGTTGCTGTGTTGGTCGCCCTTTTGGAATTAGCGATCAAGCTATTAGCACCGAATTCCCATCCCTATTAGAGGACAAGTACATCACCAAGTCTGGTATTGTCACGCCACCCGAAGGCGCTCCCAGTTACAAATATGCGGCACACCATTACTTCAAGCTACGGGTGCTGCAATCTGAGATCCAAGATGTCCTTCAACATCAACAAGCACGATTCGTGCGGCAAAAGGTTCCTTATTCGGCCAATACAGTTATACGCTCTGACCTTGCATCTCCCTTCCTTCAAGGGTTCGACTCATTCCGCTCATGGCGCAAAGATGTTCACCGGCGATTGATGGAGTGGCAGGAAAGCGCGCCCACCCGTAGAGAAACAGGCGTGCAGTTTTCGGTGGAATTTCTTGAACTCAATTACTGGCAGGCCGTCATCATGCTCTACCAGCAGAGCTTGACAGTTCCTGCGGAATTAGCCTCAGAGCTGACACCGGCGGAGGATGTATCCAGCCCGTCATTCTCGAATGTGGACGATGCCGAAGATGAAGATGACATATACTACAAGGTTGCAGAGGCAGGGCAGAAAGTTATCCGTATATATCGCCAGATGCACCGTGTCCGACTAGTGAACTATACATATCTTGCAACACATCATATATTTATGGCGGGTATGACAAAAGTCCCCTCGCTCTATATTACTTCGCTGCTTACACTGTTCTAGGCATTTCATTTTTGTATGCGATATGGCACTCACCTTTCGTGCGAAGCCGCTTGGTATGTATCTCACGACTGAACTGGAAGCAAGATAATAGTTAACTAATTCGGTTTTAGACATTAGACGAAGTCGACTTCACTGTGCTCGCCGCCACATCTGTGCTTGGGGACTTGATGCACAAGTGCCCCCCAGCAGAAGCTTGTCGGGATGCCTTTGAACGAATGAGCAAAGCCACCGTTCAGATGAGCTTATCAACTACCGGATTTGGATCTCAGGTAGATTTATCGCGGATTAGAACTGCATCTCAGCAGCATCATACTGGTTATACGGGCCCGACGAGGAGTTCTGGAAGATCCGGTTTTGACCAACGACAGCGCTTTTCCCATGGCCCTAGGCGGCAGACGCAGGTACGCCAGTCTCGACCATTGCCAAAGTTCGACATGAACCTTGGCGATCTCTTCAATGACCCTGGGCCCGCTCCGGATCGCGCCAGCAGCGGTACGAGGAAACCGGTACAGACGTATCCAATGCGCGCCGAATACCCTGAGTCATCGACACCGAACTTTGGCTCCGACCTCCCACCCCGGCCTCAGCCTCAACGAACACCATCTATGGAGTATTATGGAGGCTACGAAAACCCTGCCTCTCCGCAGACACAGCAGCAACAGTATTTCTATAGCAATTCTCCACAGCACAGCGTGTCCTCAAGCGGCGCGGCCCCCAATGCGGGCCAGCACCAATTTTCCCCGGCGGACCAAGAGAGTGCGGCAGGGATCAGCCTTGATTTCTTGGACTTCGACTCCACGGGGGCGGAAAACACAGTTTCCGTGGGCTCAGACGGTAATCCCGAGTATAACATGTCAGCCGTACCGTCGCTGGGCCACGGGGCTGGCCACAGTGTTGGAATCGACCTCGGATTCGGCATGGCGGTCGACTTCCAGCATGACTGGAGCGAGAACGCGAATTACGATATGCTCGAAGGTTACTTCTTCGGGGATCGGTGGGAAATCCACCGGGCGATGGTTCGATCTGAGGTTCTCAACCCCGTCCCCTTTTTCTTCGTGTTTTTCTTTGATGGCATCTTGCTTGCGGGTCTTGCGTCTACCTGGGATTGAGAATAAAAGGTGACATGAATTTATGACTCCTCGCTTGTACATCGTCCAAAACATCGATTGCATCGAATGGGGGCCATTTGGTTTTTGTATGTTGTCATAAGCAGTTCTTACAATTATATCTTACATATTGGTATAGTAGCACATATATTACGATCCATCCGATGATTGTGATATCCTGCCGATTTCAATGTACTATCATTTTTTGGACTACCAACAGGGATAGAGTGAGGCCAGCGCTAAAAGAATTTGGGCAGCAAATTCAGTGTCTATTACCCCTTACTAGTGGTGTGAGGAGTTTATTGACGCTTGAGTTGTCCTGTGGAGACCAACCATGTGGGATACATCCAATCATTAGCAAAAGTCAATAGTTACAGCAAGCCAACGCACAGCTTTCCTGTTTATTCTGTGTGTGCCTATATGTCTTGTCTGCAGATTGTGTATCATTTAACGTTCATTTATCTTCTTCTTCCCAAAACTTGTGCCTCTAGATGTTCGAAGTGTTCGCTGGTGTCTGATTAGCAGAGATTCCATGCACATTATCGTATTTGTGTCCGTTCCGTGACGTTGCCGGGGTGAGGATCTCCAAGTTCCACTCTTGACGCTCCGCCGCTTGGATCGACTGATCGAGTCAAAGTCACCAACGCGAGCTTAGAGAAGATCATTCAGACGCGTTTTCTCCTCGTCATCAGATCAGCTGCGATCTTCATATTCGTCATATTTTGACAGAATCAGGCCTGTCAGTCCCCCTCTCGTCCACTGCGACCGTGACTAGCTTTCGGTGTCTGTCTGGTGCCTCGACCACTCAACAAAAGAAACCATGTACAAGACGTCACCAAAAAGGAAAGATTGACCGGCTGTCCGCAGTAAATATCGACCACACCTTCTCTGTAACTATCTGTTGGTCTGTTTGGAGCTTTCTGGTTCCGGTTAGGCTGGCGGAAGCTATACCAAATACCCAACTGTTGTGTGTGGACCCCTTCGATCGCGGGGAGAGCAATCTTTTTCCTCACTGCTGCAACTACGAAGCAGAGTGCAGGCAATCTCGGCTTCCATTATTCGCTTCTATCTGCTCATCAGTCCTTTACATATTTTTCTTGCTCTAGGTCGTTCCCTTCTTTTCCCCTCAGGGCCGGTAGTCTTTCCCTTTGCATCTCTCACCTGCGTCGAGAGGTGTGCCTAACCTGTCTGCCACTCTTTTTATCGAGACCGCTTCGTCCTACGGATCATACGATCGTGCTTCTTGTTACGGGTTATGTCATGTGCAATACGACTGGACTTTTGAGCGACACGGCTGCAACCCGCTCATTTGGCAATACACAATATTGAAGGCCGTTGAGGGTTACGCTGCTTGCCCACGATGGTCAAGGCGGACGTGCGGAGGGATTATTATGCGGACCTGGGTTTGACGCCCAGCGCAGACGCTGAAGACATCAAGAAGCAGTTCAGGAAATTAGGTAAGGCGAGGGGGATTGCTTGCAGGTCTTCGTTTGCGAGTTTCTTGTGGTTAATTTATTCTCAGCCCTCAAGTACCATCCCGATCGAAATCCAGGCCGCGAGCTCGAGTTCAACGCCAAGTTCCAGGCTATCCAAGCGGCCCACGAAATTCTCAGTGACCCCCAACAGCGCCTTAAATACGATACAGACCGACTACGTGCTGGATACGGCAAGCTTTATGGTCCAAACAAGGCGAATACGTCTCGGAAAGCTCCTACAAACCCTTACGCCTCCCCTCCACCGCGAAGCCTCAAACTCCTAAGCCGCCTTTTTCAAGTCGCCCGCAGTCTTTTCATAATGGGCCTTCGACCGGTGCCCAGCGTTATGCGAGCTATGCGAGAGCGGCCCCCAAGCAGCCGTGGGAGAAGACGCAGGATGAAGGACAGACCAGGGCTGATGCGTATCGTGGGTTTCAGGAGATGAAGGGGAACTCCACGCCTGGATGGTCTCATTTTGATCCACGTACTGGACGAGCAGGATATACAGGGGCTGCCCGACCGGATGCCACACCTAATGGGCACCCCACTAGACCGAAGTCTGCATACGAGTACTTCAAGACATCCCCCAAAACCACAGCCAACGAGTCATCCCGCACTCAGTCTGCGCGGAAGAAGCAAGGCTTTGCTCCCAGGACTGCTGGCGGGGATGAACCCATGGCTGCAAATACATCATCCTACACCAGCGTACCTCGAAGGGAGCGCTTTCAGGCGCCCGACAGCTTTCAAAGGGAAACTGCCCCCTCCCCAACGGCAGAGAGACCTGCGGCAACATCCGGCTATCGAGCTGAGAACACCGGGACTCCTGATTTTGAGCGAACAGGAAGTAAGTATGCCGGTACCGGCGGCGAGCGGACATTTTTCTCGAGTTCATGGCTGCGTTCTGAAGGTGTGCGCAATTCACCCAAAAGCTCCAGCGCTCAATCGCGGACGAACCCCCCAAGTCCGACTCCTCCTCCTACTGGGAGACACAAAAGCGCTAGTCCTAAGTTGCGCAGCGACAGAGGTCGAAACTACGACTCGACAAGCTCAAGTGGCACCGAGGATGAATTCATCTCTCGCAAACCTAAGGCGGTCCCCAAGAGCAGGCTACAAAACCACAAATATGCCAATTTTCGTTCTCAGACAGGTTCTACTCCTAGGACGGGTAAGTTTCCTCTTCCTCCTTCTCAGTTGACAATGGCAAGCTCTCGATGACTTGTTTCTGCTGGGCTAGTCCATAATGAATATCCCCAAATCGGTGCATGGGTATTCGGGTGCTAACAAATACCGTCAGAACCCGCCAAGCCAGCGTCGTCTGAAAATATTTTTGGTGTATTCTCGTCAAACTCGTATGAGACCTTCGCCTTGGCTCTCTATATTGTACTCAGGCTGACTTCTTCAACTGTAGAAACCCGGCGCCTAATGAAGGCCAAGCACCACCGAATGGAGCCTTCAAGAGTAGCAGTCACGATGATTTACGCAAACCATTTACTGCGGATAGTTGGAAAGGCGATTTTGGGTTTGGGTCATTCACATCGAGCACGACAGAGAATGGCCGACCTGACTTCAACCATCGTCCGAACAGCCGTGGACGAACCTCAACAAGAGCGAGTCCTTCAAGGGCAGGCCAGCCGGGACCATTCAGCCAGGATTCGTCTCGGTCGGCGTCCGTTTCGCAGCAACCGCCGACAGCGTTTCCTGAGGCAAAGTTCTCTGTGGACGAGTGGGCTGCCAAACTCAAGGATGTACGGTGGACCATGCCTCAAAACGAGGAAGCCTCTCAGCAGGCGAATACTCAGCGCCAACGAAGCCCTAAGAAGCAGACCAAATCCGGGTTTAAGATGCGACCTACGCCACAACCTGCCAGTGTTGCGACAGAAGCGGAAGAGTCCCGGAGGACTGTCGGAGGTAGCGCAAAACAGGAGACGACCGGTACATGGGCTGAGGAAGTGGAAGCCATGGATCTCGATGATGATATCCCTAGCAAAAACACTGATGCAGCTTTTCAAACAGACAAAGCATCCAAAGGTCAAGTCCCTCAGCCGTCTTCAGGTGTCGACAGCAAAGACACCGGCGCCAATTCTAAGTCTCGTCTATTCAACCTGAATGACCTAGGCAGCACAGCGCCATTTACCAGCACAAATAGTGGCGGCATTGAGGATTTGCAGGATATCCATGCGACGCTACCCTTTGAGTCACGTGCGAAGGTTCCGAGGACGACGGCACGGAATGTGCGTCCCAGGCGGCTCATTTGCCCAAATCCACCGAAAAGACCCAGCCCACCGGAGCTTGTTCCAATCAGCGCAGGGTCGCAGCAACTCGGTCTGCCCCGAGGCGCATGGGACCGTTATGTCGCGGAGATGGGTGCCTACATGCGCGAGTGGAACGCTTTCAATCGTCGACTTCTGCGTCATTTCAATGCACGCCAGGATGCGATGGAAACAGGAATGGCCCCCAACTGGATTGGCGCTGTTGGAGATTCCGCACGTATTAAGATCAACGAGCCGAGTGGCGAGGATGATGAAAGAGCGACTCGTGAAGACGACGATGACGCTGAGAGCGACGACGCTATGGTGGCCGGAAGCGCCAAAGCAGGATTCAGTGCTTATTTGCGTGCATTTGACGAGGATGAAAAAGTGCACAAACATTGGGAAGTCGCTCGTGAGAACCATCGCAAATGCATTGTGGAGCTCGGGGAGATGCGGGAATGGATCTTGAATGGAGGAAAACTGATTTAGGCTGGATAGATATACCCCTACGACGTTTCTTGCCTACGGTCTTTTCGCATGGCATGGGTGTTGGCGGTTCGGCGTTCTGAAATGGTTGGGCCTGTTCTACAGTTACGTAGCCTCTTCGGTCAGTCATGTATTTTTAGAAGCGTCTTGCACCATAGTTAGAGAGGAAGACTCTCTGGCACCGAGCATGACGAGTTGGATATGCTCAATCCACCCTGAGAAAGTCTGATACCAATCTTGACTTCCTTCCAAGCCCTAGCCCTGAGCCCCGAGCCCTTACTTCCGATGTCGGCATAACCGGACATCCGCCACCTTCCCGATACAGTAAGTGCCCGCAGAACCAGACCGGTAACCGTGTGACAAAATGCCAGTCCCAGATTGGCTTGCCGATGAAGAGGTATGATGTATGGTATTGTACCAGATCCTGATTTGCTGCCGCCCGCTGAGTCACTCTACGTAGGGGGAGAAAAAAGTAAGACTCATATATCGCCCGCGCCTCCGCGGTTCCCCTCCGTCCGTTTTTTCGGCTTTTGGATCTTTGACAGTCGCGACGCCTTCGCTGCTGCTCCATTCACCTTCCCTGCAAACGGGTCGGGAATTATTTGACGCTCATCGGTCAATTGACATTTTCTCAATCTACCTCTCGAAGAAGAGCCGATTCAATTCGTGCAGTTTCAAGTTTAAAACTACAGCCACACCCTCCGCTTCACTTGCAAGTACCGAAGCCGATCTTTTGACGTATACATACCATCGAAACCATCTGGTGTCACTGTCAATTGATCAATTGAAATACAACATATCACAGCAATCGTTCAAATAAGATTCTCTCTGCTACAATGGGTATCACGATCGTTCTGGGTAGCCAGTGGGGTGATGAAGGTGGGGCTTGATGAACATTGTTGCGCTTGATATAGACGGCACGCTGATGGACGTTGTTGTCGGATAGGAAAGGGGAAGATTACAGATATGCTTTCGCAGGAGGCTACGCTCTGCTGTCGTGCTGCTGGCGGCCACAGTGAGTATCATACCTCCCCGCGGAGTTTCCAAAACTAACCCCTCTTTCTTTCCTTCGCCAGATGCGGGCCACACCATCGTCCATGACAACATCACTTACGACTTCCACATTCTTCCCTCTGGACTGGTCTCTCCGTCCTGCGTTAACCTCATCGGCGCTGGAACTGTCGTGCACGTCCCCAGCTTCTTCAAGGAGCTGGCCTCTTTGGAAGAGAAGGGACTGAAGGGTGCCGGCAAGCGCATTTTCATCTCTGACCGCGCGCATGTCTGCTTCGACCTGCACTCTGTTGTAGATGGTCTGGAGGAGGCTAAGCTGGGTGGTCGCAAGGTCGGCACCACCGGTAAGGGAATTGGTCCTTGCTACAGTGACAAGGCTGCCCGCCGGGGTGTCCGTATTGGCGAGATTATGGACGAGGCGGTCTTTGAGCGCAAGCTGCGGTCTCTGCACGCTGGATACACTGCGAGATTCGGTGAGCTGGATTATGATGTCGAGGAGGAGATTGGTCGATTCAAGGTATTTCGACTTGATTTCTGGCAGGTACATGGTTGGAAGCGTTTTGATACTGACGCAATGGAATAGGAGTACCGGAAACGCTTGGTTCCCTATGTTGTCGACCAGCTTGCCTTCTTCAAGCAGTACAAGGACTCGCCGAACACTCTCGTGGAGGGCGCCAACGCTCTCATGCTCGACCTGGACCACGGAACCTACCCCTACGTGACCTCCTCGTCCACCGGTCTGGGTGGTGCCGTCCAGGCTCTGTCCCTCAACCCTACCAGCATCACCTCCGTCATTGGTGTGGTCAAGGCGTACACCACCCGTGTCGGCTCGGGTCCCTTCCCTAGCGAACAGTTGAACGAGTACGGCGACAAGCTGCAGTCAGTCGGCAGGGAATTCGGTGTCACCACCGGCCGTCGTCGTCGCTGCGGCTGGTTCGATCTCGTCCTCTGCCGCTACTCCCAGGCGATCAACCACTACACCGCTCTGAACCTGACCAAGCTGGACATCTTGGACGACTTTGACGAGATCAAGGTCGCAGTTGCCTACGTCCTCCCTGACGGAACCCGCCTGACCGACACCTACCCGGCCGACGCCCAAGTCCTTGAGAAGGTCAAGGTCGAGTACGTCACTCTGCCCGGCTGGAAGAGCAACACAATGGGTGTCAAGAAGTACGAGGACCTTCCTGCCAATGCGCGCGCCTACATTGAGTACATTGAGCGGGAACTCGGCGGTGTACCTGTAAAATGGATCGGTACCGGACCCGCCAGAGACCACATGATCTGCCGGGAGTGAATATCTGCGCAGTCGAGTTGTCAACTGACGCTGCGGACGGAGACGGTCTTGGCTGTTCATGGCTGCGGCCTACAAAACTAGAAGTCTTCCTGGGATATTATCTGTCTTTGCTTATGTTTGTGTATATGAATGGATAGACGAATCTGATGAATATTGCTTACTCTGACTTCTTGCCATATGGGATAAATGTGTCCGGACGATGTACGCCTTAGGCTAGGGGCAATCATCACAGTTATGGTGGTATAATATTCTATCAGAGGATATGTCCCTCTCCTAACAATCCCAGGAAATACACCATGGAAATACACCATGGCCAGCTGATTCACTGGTTGGCTTTCCTTCCTCAACCGCCTCTCAGTATATGCGTTGAGGGTTCTGCCGAGGGGTCAACTGGTCTTGAAAGCTATCCTCCGGCGTTTCGTGCTCAACAATCTAGAGTCAATGTGAATCCCAGCATGAGACTATTCCAAGAAATTTCAACCCGTATCCTATAACATCGAACGAACAATGGTATAATCTGTCCTGAATTGTGCCTCCGGGCCGACGGGATCGGGAAGGTCAGTCTGTCCACCTCCTCCGTTAGAGCTTATCGCTCATTTCTCCTCCAGGAGAAAACAAGCTCTCAGGCCTCGGGAGACTTAGGTTGGGGAACAAGAGCCAGAAAGAAGTTAGCCTAGAATAGAAAGATATAGTCGGCGTACAAAATCAAACTTACCTCCGTGCCTCCTTCAACACAGTAAACTTGAAATAAAAGAGGTGGAAGGCAACGCGAAGCATCCATCGTGGGGTGACATGGTGACGAATCGACTTTCTGGCGGAGAACAGATAGCATTGCTGTTTCTCATATTAATATTCGATTCGAACTTGGCTAGAGCAAAATTCATGATATAATACATGCAGTTTCGAGCTCGGGAGTCAATTTGTCCGATTTAACTCCTCTAGTTGAACCATAGTAACCAAATATAAGGCTATTGCCGTTGTTGTTGCCAATTGCAAAAACTTGTCAGGGACGTGGGCAGTCAATGCTTCCTGAACCAGACGAGGCCTTGAGCAGTTCTGATTCCAGGGCAACCAAGGGATGACATGGTTGGGTGAAGTCTATCGTCTGGTCAGGTCTGATAGACGGGAAAAGGACTTGTCGGGGGTCCTTCCATCGCAGTTGCTTGCTCAGTCGTTTTCTCGCCATCTGATACATGTACTGATGTAGCTCCCGAGTTGGCCAAAACGGAGTGCAATAATGAGAACGAGTGCAATGGGGCACTCGCATGTGCTATTAGAGTTGGTCGGGCAATTAGCGTGCCTGAAGTAGGATAAATTAGGCAGGATTGATTTCTGATCCTGACCGGAGATCACCCAAACTGCTCAAGTTCGTTTCTTTGAGCTTTTGGCTGTTGCGAAGTTCCACCCAGTTCTCGATATTCTCAGGGATCTCTGCGAAAGCATCCTCTTGTAGGTGTTGTTGGGATCGGCTCGTCCGGAGAAGTCTTGCCTTTGACCGTATCATAGTTCTACCCGAGTACATCGAGAGGACTTCGAGTCTTCGACTTCATGCGGGGAAGACCTGGATTGGACCACCTCCACGGTTGAGTCGACAGAGAATTGCAGGAGTAGCTACACCAGCCGTAAGCTTATCAGAACACATATCATAGGGCAATGGACTTACCGTAGATGCTTTTGGTCTAGTATTATAGCCAGGGTCTCCTCTACGTGGTAAAGGTAACATGTGCTTTAGTAAACTGACCATGTCGATTGAAGTCATCTTCCATACTGGTGAGGATGTCTTTACCGGGGCAGTCGTACAGGCGTCTCGAGCGTAAACCATTGACTGTATACAGAGCATTTTGTATGTTTCTGTAGTACCGTATACTCCATTACCGCAGGAGAAAGGAAGATCATAATTCGTTCGATTTGATTTGTTCAAAGCATTTGAGAGTTGAGCTTGTCAGTAGTAGCTGGCAAAGTGGTATGTCCTATAGTGTTCTAATATGTTGAAGCCTGGCAGGGAGATCAACAGCATGAAGTGAATATATATTAACATCTATTCACTAGTCATCTGTATGAGACTGTGAACATAGTGCATCTCTCACGTTGTCTTACTTTTTGTTCCTGAGTGGATTGTACCAAAGACATATATGGGCATTTATATGAATCTGTAAATGTAGTAAAAGCGCAGCACCTTCGAGGAACAGAATGCCAAGCTAGGTTCCTCTTGGTCTCTCACAATAGGGGAGTATGTGGACAAAACCAGGACTCGTTGGCCCATATTACTCATTAAAAACCCAAATTAGCTCTATAGTACAACCTATATACAGAGGCCTCGAACGCCGTCTATAAACATGAATCATTAAACCATCTATATACAACATTAAGCTGGTTTATGGCCGATTAAGCTGCTCTTTACGGTAGAACAGGAGGAAACCAAAGCTGTATGCAGTCAGTATATAGTCACTCAGAACATAAGGGGCGCGAAGGGGGCGGTCTTACCTGGCCACAAGCTGGAAGAACAAGGCAATCCAGAACCACGCATTGGCAATCTTATCGACTGATGTGCCAACATTCGGCGAGATACCGTCAGGACCGAGTCTATTCGGTGCGAATCCGCGCGCGCAGATGGTAGCGATTGATCCCACGGCCTGCGCAGCCAGGAGGACAAAGCAGACGTGCACTCTTGTCAGGGTCTGCAGGAGAATCATACCCAGACCAACCTGCTGGATCTCATCGAGGACGCCGAGCCAGAGCCACAGACATCTGGAGACGATGGCACCCGAGGTCAGACTCCCCGCCCAAGGGAGATAGTAGCCGATATTGGACGTTCCCCACCATGTTTGTGCCCAGCGCGGAGATCCCAGACTGAGTCCGAAGACGGGGAGGATCCAGCTGTGCTCCTTGGACAGCGCGCGGAAGGCAAAGAGAATGAGCACCCAGAGGATTATGAAGAAGCCGACCACGAGGATGACGACCTCCCATGTCTTGGCATGTTTGGAGGACCAGAGGAACGACCAGTTGCGCCCGAAGGCGGCGGCGAGGAACCAGTTCTGCACGATGACCATGAAGAAGAACCAGAGGACGATGCGGCGGCGGAAGAGCGACGTGTAGAAGAAGAGGATCCGACTGGGTGCTTGGCGGTAGTATTTGGGCAGGCCCAGGGCGAGGATCACGCCGATGACGAAGCATACCGCGGCAATCGGCATCACCACGGCCGTGAGCCTCCAGGTGCTCAATGCGAGGGTGGACACGCCTCCAATTTCGGTTGCGGTGACCTTGGAGCTCCAGTACCATAGTGCAACAGTGTACAGCTGCGAAATACCTTGGATGAGACTGGCGCGGAACATCCAATCCTTGACGGGCACGGCGCCCTGGTCACCGAAGTTGAGAGCGAAGAACAACGAACCGCTGGACGACGCCGCGGCGTACACGCCTGCAGCGACATTTTGAGCCCATCCTCGCCCGACTTCCGACAGTCCAAAGGGAGACACGCCAATTACAATAAACGCCAAACAGTATATGAACCATGGGAGACTGAGAACGATCACCGCTGGCAGACGGGCGTACATGAACCACCATGCGATCGACGAGACGCAGTAGATCGCTGCGATGACATACAACTTGGTTGCCGTCTCGCCTACCTGTCCGACCAGCAGGGTAATTTGAGAGGAGTTGGTCGCGATGATCTGTCCAAGGCCCAGGAACAGAGCGTAGACGGGCCAGTTTCCGATCCGTCGTCGCATGAATCGCTGAATGGCCATAGGGCGCCTATATCCTAGCCGTGAAAGCCAGCGATCGATCTCATCGGAGTCGCTCGGGTCCGAACCGGCCGTGGCGGTCGAGAGGCGGTTATACTGGGTCTCATTGTCGAGCTGGTCCGGACTGGCCGAAGAAGAAATAGACTCCTTGGCGTGGTGTTTCTTCAGCTGCGCGTCGTTGTACATGTTATAGAACTTGCGCTCGCTCTTCATCAAGTAGGTCTCGATGCAGCAGTCCGTCATCGAGTTCTTCTTGTCCAAGTCGTTGAGCAGTTGCTCGAATCGCCGGGTGAAGTGGCCCATGCTGTCCGTAAAGGTCGGGTCGACCTTCTGCAACTCGAAGACTTGCTGATTGTGGTCACCCATCACTGAAGGCAGAGACAGGACGGAGACATTGCGGGAGTGCATAAACGGCATGCCCTCGCCGGAACTAAGTGCCAATTGGGATGGGTATTGAGGCATATCAGAAGGCGTCCTCGGCACTGGCGACGAAGCCCGCGAGACGAAGTACGGTGAGCCTGGCATGGAATGGTATGGCGGCGTAACGCTGTTTCCATGTCCATTTCCGTTTCCTACGGACTCGCCATTGTCTTGAAATCCAAGAGCGTGACTGACTGCCCTCATAGCCTCATCAGTGGAGATATAGTCCACCCGGTGCGAATTGGAGTCATCCTCATCGACTTCTGCCTCGGCATCGGTGGCCTCCTCATCCAGCTGGCTCTCGACGACCTGACTGTCGCGAAGTGACTTTTTGACCAGGCGGTTTCTGCCCTGGCCAGGTCCAGCTCGTCGACCGAGGGAGAGTTTACGGCCTAGACTGCTCCTGTTTCCGTCGTCCGTCTGCAGTTCTTGAAGCCGCGATTCGGCGTTCAGCATCACTCTTGAAGGCGGCGTCTCCAGACCGTCTGGGACAGGCTGAGCCAATCCAGGCAGACTCGCCGTGGAGTCCCGCATGTTCTGCATCTCCCAGTAGATCTGCGGCTCCGGCATGGGACCAGCGACAGTGTTCTTGTTCTTTGTATGATGGATCTGGATGGCCGTCTGTTGCAAGGTTTCCAACTTCTGGATCCATTCCAACACAGGGAATCGTTGCTTGGCAGAGTTCGTGCGCATTTCTTCTCGAGTCTCCTGGTCAGAGTCCAGAGCGGATTTGATAGCAGTCCTCAACTGATGCAACAGATGGCGGGTCGCGTCAGATTCCACCGTGTACCACCATCCAGGCATTTGGCCTAGACCTCCAATACGAGAGCCAATACCCAGCGCACCTTTACGACCGAACTCGACCGCAACCAACCCAAATGGCTCATCCCGAGACGGAATCAGAGCAAAGTTGGCGCCGGAAAACACATACGGAGGCAAAATGGTAAACTCTGGCTTGGAGAACACGCGACCTGGGAACATGGCCATGATGCGTTCCAGTTTGATAGCAGCCAGCTTGCCATACAGGTCAATGATGGGCCCAACGCAGATCAGCTGGACGTGAGGTCTAGCTGACAGTATTGCTGGCATAACATCAGCGATCAAATCGACACCCTTCTGCTTCGACCACCGTCCAACGAACACGAGAAGATCGGCATTAGGATCTTCCTTCAGACCAGCCCATTTCTGTGCCTGCAGTTTGTCTCTAATCCGATCTTCAGGAGACGGGATTGAAACATTCGTCTCAGCCCCGTCGCCGACGGCACCAGTATCCGAGGGGTCCGGGTTCGGGAGACTGCCGATTTTATTAAGACTCCAGAAGATTGGGTAGCGAGCCCATGAGCGCTTTCCGTACTTCTTGGACACACCGACTGCACCGAAACCGCGCTGATGAAATCGAAGGTAGCTTGCGCCTGTATGTAGAAGATTGAATACGTTTCCAAACTGGCAGTATTTGGTCGCGGTTTCGATGGGGAGATTGAAAACTGAGCAGACTTCCTTCTTCTCTTGTTGGGTCCTTAACGGCCAGAGGCCTTGGAACTCCGCGTTGTGCAGTGATAGACAGACTGGAACGGTTCGTGTCGGCAGCAGATAAAGGGGAGCCAAGCAACCGTGGAAATCGTTGATGTGGTAGAGATCGATTGAAGGGAATCGCTTGATCGTCTCTGCAATACACTGGTTCCATGCCGAATAGTAGACTGCGCTGTCGAGGTCATCCATCCGTGGGGGGTAAGGCTCGGCTTTCGTCTGCTGCCGGAAGACTGGAGCATCGAGGAGAACGTAGGTGATATTGTCGACGACATGGTATTGCACATTCACCAGGTAGGGCTTGTCGAGGATGGTGACCACCATTGGCTCCGCTGGTGTGTCTTCGGGATACTCAATGTCGCCAACACAAGGGACCACCCAGATGAGATTCTGGTGCCTTAGGTGCTCGGACATTAGCTGTGCCATGACCCCCAGACCACCGATCTTCACTTTGACCTTCCAGTCCTGGATGAGGTATTCCATAGTGGCGATCAAGACCGTACGTCGGTGTTCGGGTGCGCCTGCAGCTGCACCTGCAATAGCACTGTCCGCCAGCACCGCTTTGTCGGATATCGCCATTTCCGAGTCGTCAGCCCCGGCGAACTGTGCTCTGACCTTGCGCCAAAGCAGCGGCAGCTTATCCTCTGTAGCCGCAGTGCCATCCGTGTTCAGCTTGATGCGGTAGAAGGTTCTCATAAAAATAAAGGCACCGGCAAGGCCCATTAGGATGGGAACAACCCACAGGAGGATGAAGAGGATGAGCTGAACCCATCCAGAACCGACAGGCGTCATCTCATATCGAAGATTGGCGTCATTGAGAGAGATGGTCCAGCCGAGGTGCGGAAATGGAGGCAACGCGGTTATGTTGATCACGTTCGACGAGAGATAGGACGGAGGAAGCTTCTGGACGACAGACGCGTTGTCCACGTCGCCATAGACCTCCGTAGGATCTGGCAGGCCATCTGATCCCACTCCCCAGACACTGATCTGTCCCGTAGATGGCCACTCATACACGAAATCATACTTCCAGCGTCCCTCCTTGGCGTCGTATCTCATTTTGCTATCCAGTCCGGAATCATAGCCGAACTGATTGTACGGCCCGTTCCACCACAGATGAGGAAATCTTCGTGGCACACCATCCTCCCAGTCA